AGATCTTGTGAGTATATCTTAGTAGTTTCACTTTTTTGTTTTTGATATGGTCTCTTGTAAAATGAAATTATGTATCGATATACTTTAATCTTTCATAGTAGATAGGATTCTTAGCTAAGGTAATAACTGATTTGTTATCAACATTAATCTTGGTTGACTTCTCTTATTATATATGAAGTTCTTGGAGTAGTCTTCTTAACCATATTACATGACAAACATAAAAAAATACTACTATATATTTTACTTCACAACTTAATAGAGCAACGATATATTATGTTTTTAAAAACCATATGAATGTGGCTTCACTAAAATAAATTACAAATTTGATTATACTCTTCCATTGTAACTTCCAGCCCAATCACTATCACTATATCAAATGAGCTCCAACCTTTTCAATAATAAATAGAATATGCTATGGTTAATTGTCCCTTTAATATTATCACAAAATTCTTTTAGTGACCTTTAATTGAGATATCTTAGGAATAAAATATCTATTTATTAAACAAACTCCAAATAATATATCAGATCGAGTGCATGTTAAATATCTTAAACTTCCAACTAGACTTTTAGAGTTGGATTAATTGGTTTACCTTCACTTTTCTTAGTCAATTTGGTGTCATATTTCACAAGTGTAATAGTAGAGTGACAATCTTCCATGGAAAACTTCTTTAGGATCTCATTTACATAATTTTCTTTTGAGATAATAATTTCTTTATTATCTTGTATAATTTCGATACCGAGGAAATAAATCATTAATCATTAAGCCTAAGTTGGCCATCTCTGTTAGGATCATAAAGACACTAAGAGAGGGAGGGGGGCGGGGGATTAGTGCTTTCAAAATAAAATTTTGATTTGAAAAATTGATAAAAAAAAATACATATCAGAAATAAGTTTAACTTAGAATGTGAGCAACTAAATCGGTTAGTAATAGTAAGAAAAAGCATAAAGAAAAATACAAACCAGTTCGGTTTAGGAAAAACATCTTTCTTTTCTTTTAAGATGTTCCCAACCATAACCTCAGCCTCTTTAGCTAGAATTTTCTCTATCACTTTTATTGTTTTAAATTTTTTTATTAGTTTGATTTTTGTTATATCTTCCTCTTTGTCCATGACCTCTTTCTTTTTAAAGATTTTGATTCACTTTTATTTTTAAGAGTAAGCTTAATTTGTAATGCTTACTCTATAGATTTCTCTTTTTGTAAGCCTTTGTTCAAGAACTTCAAGAGAAGCTATTAATTATTCTAAAGATATTTATTCTAAATCTTTAGACTCTTTATTTGCTACAATAATAAAATTAAATTTTGGATATAGAGATCTTAGTATTTTTTTTATTACTCTTTGATTACTTATTTGTTCATCATTTCATCTTATTTGATGAATGATAGAATAATTTTTGAGATGTAATCAAACAGAGATTCAAAAGTGTTTTACTATAATTGTTCAAACTTGTAGATAGAGCTTTTTTCCTTTGTCCATACCACCAAATGCTTTTTGAAGTATTTCCCAAGTCTCTTTTAAAGTATTTACTAGAGTAATGATCTCGAACATTATATCATCAAGCTCTTGATAAATCATGAATAATATTTTTTTCTACTTTTTTTTTATCTTTGAGTTAGTTTTACACTTTTGCATTCATTACTCCTTCCTTTACAAACTCTAATATATCTTGAGAGCTTAGAAGGATCTTCATCTAGATGCACCATATATCGTAATTTTTTTTTATCAATCTAGGGATTTGAAATTGGATGATGCTTGAGGAAAAGGCTATGCTTAACTTAGCTTTAATACCAAATGTTAAACTATGTAGGGAGAAGAGATAAACCTATCATACAAAGAAAAGTATGACAATATAAAATATTCTATGTTTCACTCAAAAACTCTTTATATTTCATTACTCAATAGATGGGGCTTATATAGCCCCCATATGGTACATTATGTTTATTGCATTTAATATAACTCTCTATTTTTCAAGAGACTCTTTCAATAATCATTAATTAATTTAGTTTATTCTTGTATGGGCCCTTAATATATTTCACCTTGATAATCTTAATTCCAATATATCTTAGTTAAATGTTTTACGTTGTTCTTTAGATTATATTCATTATATTTAATATCTTTTTTCTTTCCAAAAGACTCTTTCCAGAATCAATCGTTAATTTGATTTATTCTTCTAGGCCTTTAATACGTTTCACCTCTTGATTGAATGAACTTACACCTTTGATAAGTTTAATTCTAACACATGTTAGTTTTCTATTGTTCTTCAGATTGCCAGGTAAAGCATTTGCAGACAATCAACACATCTGGTTGAACGGTTCTCAATTTGCAAATTGCAAGATGTTTTCACGCTCTCTTTTAGCAAAGGTAGTATACCTAACCAGTTAAATTTTCCAATGTTGTAATTAAATATGTAATTAGAACACGAAGCTAAAATTGGCTACTGCCTTAATTTTTGATATGTTACTCGCGGAATGATTAATTTGGACACGTCACACATCATCTAGAGTGCATCTATTCAGGTACGATTACAGTCTTAGTTTCAAATGACCAATTACACCGTGATAGTCTCTCTCGATAACCTTTAAGTGAATATATGTCTAGGCGAGTTATGCTTTGATTTGTCATGGTGTCTATTTGCAGACAGTGGTGTGCATCCCTATCATGGATGGTGTACTAGAGCTTGGAACAACTGATCTAGTAAGTTCTATTTGATTGTTCTTATGAAGATTTCAAGTAGGTACTCTGAACTATTATACTTCTCATACAACTATCTCTCCTTTAATTTTATGTGACTTTAGATTTTGGAGGATCCTGCCATCATAGAGAAGATCACAAGGTCTCTCTGGGAGCTACCAAATCCGATTTGCTCTGAGCAATCTATATCCGGTCGTCGAATGGCTGAGAACGACGAAGATCATTTATGCCCTAATCTTGATAATAACATAGATGACTGTATCGACTTGGAGGACCAGAATCTGATCGTCGATCCTCAAACCCAATTGGGCAATGGTCCAACACACATTCCATTTCATTTGTATGCCCCTATCGAACAAACAGAACCAGTCCGATGCATGATCGAGGAGCTACATACAAGCACACGTGAAGAACTAATTGTAGGTTCTTCAGATGGCAGTTTAAATTATGGCTGCCCCACGCAAAAGGTAGAAGATGCATTTGGAGTTGATGGGCTAAATGACATGTCTCAGACTCAGAGTAGGCAGTTTATAGATGATGAGTTCAGCAATGTCCTACATGGCTATTTGGATTCTGATGGGCATGAACCGATGTCTTTTGTTAATGTTCAGAGAGTTGTCTCTGGCACTGTGGGAGAAAGAAAAAACAACCAGATTGTTGACGGTGTTCAACAGAGAAGCCTTAGCAGGTTTGTTCCACT